CATCCCATAGTGGAGGTGATAGAGTCTCTTGATTCCACAGTCCTGAGATTAGTTAATAGCACATCAAGATCATCATCCGAATCATCATTCACATCATTATCTACAAAACAATGATCAACTACAAATATTAATAAATATAAATCATAAAATATATGAAATATTATGTTACCTGTAAACTTATATCCATATAGTCAAGTCCAAGTGCATATCAAAGATTTTGCATTTTTTGGTCGAAGTGAGCTTCGATATTTATTGAGCACTTTACTGCCAATACTAAAAGCGGACTCCGAAGCAACAGATGTTATTGGTATTGCCATGATATCACGAGCCATCATTGCAAGTACCCGATAACGATCACGATTGTTCTTCCAATGATCGAGGATATCCAAATTCTGATATTTGACGCGATCAAACCGCATCTCTTCCAAATAAAGATCTAATTCGGATTTCTTAGTGGAAATGAAAACATTCTCATAGTTGTCAAAATCATGTACAGTTTAAATAGTTAAGTGTCAAAAGTTAAAATTAAACAATAAACAATATTTTATTTATCATAAGAATATAAAAACTAAAAAGTATAGTGACTTGCAGAAGAATTATCTATGCGCCTACCAAGAGTAGGACCACTCGCAGGAGAAACAACTAAAGGTGAGGTAGGAATTTCTTTGGAACATTGAGCCTCGTAAGCTTGAAAAAACTTTTGCAAGTTATTCTTAACAACCTCCAACTTTCATGTGGCAGTAGTTAAATCATAAACTTTCTTGAAAGCATACTCCACAAACTGATACTTGAGACGTGGATCAAGAATAATGGCAATCGTCAACACAAGACTATAAGAATCCCAATATTTTATAAATTTTGAGATCATTTGCTTCGCCATGCTCCTAACAACTTCATCCTCACTCATCCTCTCTTCAATTAAACGCAATTGAATTTCTCACACACATTTCAGGCACAAGTTTGCTATAAGATATTAAAAACCCGAGAATAAAGTCGTACTATTATAAAATGGTTCCAAGAACTTGCATATCCTCGTCCCCCTATCCCATTCGTCATCTAATGGACAAAATTTATAACTGAGATCTATTGTTGATAAAGCCACAAACACAGGACGATATATTAATGTCGTTTCAAGTATTAAAAATGTCGAATTATAAGTTCCTTGATTCTCCACATATGAATATAGATAATTATGTTGAATAATTGATAAGGTCATATATTCACGATAAATCTCTTGACTAATGTTTCTACTTTGCAATCTATGATCATGATCAATCAATAATTGCCCTATATCATGGTTGCCACGTTTTGGACAATCTCCTATATGACGCTTCAAATTTTTAGTCCCATGTGTAGCACTATCATATGCATAACTTTTATTGCATGCCTTACACCTAGCCCTCTTATTCTTATTCTCATCAACATATGTCTCAAAATAATTCCAAACTTCTGATGTTTTACGTTTATTTCTAGAACTAGTTGCAGGAATACTTGAATTAGAAGGAGGTGACATTATCCTAAAAGCATTGTCACTTGCTCTTACGTTAACCATATCCGTATCTATAATTTCAGAATCTGACATGTCAATGCTTGAGACTATATATATATAGATATATATGTGTGTGTGTGTGTGTGTGTGTGTGAGAGAGATTGACAGGGTGATATTATAATAATATTAATATAAATGTTACATTAAAATAGATTGAAAATGTACAGTTTCATGGGTGGAAAAATGTACATTCGTCAAACTTTGGGTGGGAAATATGATTCAGCCACTTTAAAATCTCAAACATACAAGTCACTTCACTTATAAGCTCATTAAACCAGACTTCTCATTTTCTTTACTTTTCCTTCAATTGACTAGCAAACAAACAGATACAACAATCAAGAACCAAAAACTAAACCAAACAGTAAGCAAAACACTTCTTCTTATCGTCTCAATATCTGAATCTTGATTCTTAATGTTCTTAATTTATTATGGCTCCAATCTCAAGTTGACTGGTTATAAAAACCATAAAAAGTAAAATGAAATGTAAGAATTTTAACAGGAATGTCTGTACGCCGTTAATAACTTCTTGTTTGACTAAAATGACTTAAATTAGCTTATTAAAGCATCCAACACTGCTCACACTATAAATTGCTGAAACTACTTGCCGCATTGGTCTATCTGTGCATGAACAAGAAGTAATACTGATGCGCCAATGGAACTCACACAACGATAAATTTTAATTCAGTAGATGGATCTTTGGTTATGAAAGAAATGGAGCAGAAGCATCTAACTAGTAAACAACCCAATTCATACATTTAAGAAACAGAACTGGTGGTTGAGGGAATATATCAGAACTATGAGCATTGCATGTAACCATGGCCATGGCAATAAAGCTTCTAAACGATCTGGATTGGAGGTAATAATATAATATTAATCTCCCCGGTAAAAGAAAAAGATGGACAAAATTCACCACCTAAGCTCAGAATTTAATGGATGAGACAACAATAAAGCATATGTGATCAGTCCAAAAATAAAATACAATGAACAGAGCTATTTTGAGTAAATTAGAGCACGCTCCACAAATTCCTCAGCAATCATAAACCATACAAATCTAATCAAAACATTTCACACCTCATAAACTGTCTTTTTTTTAGTTTCATTTTTCTGTTTGATGGGGGATTAGAGTTTTCATAAAGTTTGTTAGTATGTCGATATTCAACTTTAAATCAAGAGTAGGTTTTCCATTGAGTCTTCCCAATTAGCTTCAGTTACCAACGATTCATACTAAGCAAAATTTACAGACTAGTTTTACTTATTTCTTGAACATCGAAAAGCTACTAAAGTCAACTATTTTTTCATACATTTTCTCAGCAACTAAACAAACCTAGGAAAATGAAAGAACTAAATAATACAACTGAAACTACCTCAAAACTAAACAATCAGCTCCCAGTTCTGATCATCTCAATCAAAAAAACAAAGCAACAGTCACATTTCAACTACAAGTGTTCAAAGCGTGAATAATAAAAGCAAGTGATGTTTAAAACTAAGTGATAGAGAGCGAAGAAATTTACTGATCGGCGATGGTGACGGTGACAACAACGATGTGAGACAATGAGAGAGGAGAGTTGTGAGTCTTGCGACGGAGAGAGAGGAGATGATGAGCCGATGACGTGATAGAGAAGAGATGACGAGCCAACGATAGTGGGACTGGGATGACGGATGACTGTGAGAGAGAGTTGAGGGAATGACTAAATGTGAATGAGTATGAGAGATTGAGAGTCGAGAGAATTAGAGTTAGGGATTTCCTCTGTTTTCTTTTAACAAAAAACGGGTACCCGTGGCGTTACCCGTATTTCCCGTTAATAATACGGGTCGGGCCGGGTACTAGTTTAAAAAAACGGGTCCAATACCTTAAACCCATACACTGTATTTTTTATTCGGGTAAAGGTCGACCCGTGGTTCTAGCGTGTTGCCAGGTCTACCGATAGCTAGCTACCACCACTAGCGACCGCTGGTAATGCCACAGATCTGGTCGTGATGCCAGCAGTGCCACAGATCTGGCCGTTTCACGGCCAAAGATGTGGTTGTGAAACGGCCACAAATCTAGCCGTGAAATGGCCAGGTCTTTGGCCTTGAAACGCCAACCGTTTCAAGGCCAGATTAGTGGCTGTTCATGGCCACATCTTTGGTCGTGAACGGCCATAGATATGCTCGTGAAACAGCCAGATCTGGCATTTTTCGACCATGGTCAGAAAAAGCCTCACCAGCGCACAGTCGGCCATATACGGTCGGTTGTATGCCATTATGGTGACTTTCAACAGGCTCCGACGGTGATCGACGGTGGCTAGCAATGGTGGCTAGTTCTAGGTATAATGTCATTTCTGCAAATAATGACAATAACAAGGGCAATGTCGTCCAAAAAATTTAAAAAGCAAGGACAAAAGTGTCTACATGAGTGAATTAGGTGTTTTTTAAATATTAACAAATATAAGGTTAATTTGGACCAAATGCTCAACTGTTTAAAGGCAACATGGGAAACAAAATTATATTACTAGGGTAAGTTTTAATAACAGCATCCCCCCCCCCCCCCTTTCTCCTCTTCCCCCCAAGTATTAAGATTCCCGGCAATATACCCCCCACATGCTACTATTTGTCATAAAATATTCCAAGAATGATTTTTTATAAACCAACCAAACATCGTCATCTGCTCAATTTAAAAGATATTACTCCAGTTATCTAATATTAACCCCATCCAAACGGCCCCTATATGTATGTGTCTTTTCCCTATTGGATTAATGTTACAACTTAGATTCATAATTAGATAAGGAGAAAACGATTTTTTTTCACCCAAATAATGGCTTAATAACATTTTGCCACTCACAAACTTTTAAAATATCATTTTATTACTCAAATTTATATTCCGTTTCTGATTCAGGCATTGTTGCGACTCCACACCACCACCATTCTCTTCCCTAGTCATCACTTACCAAAACCCCTCAAACTCTACTCTCGTCGACCCCGCCAATCGCCGACAATCGAGCGATTAGGGTTTGTGCGACCGTCCCTCCCAAGTCAAATTCCGATCCATCCCAACTACAAAAATCCAACCTTTTACCACCAAAAGACTCATTGACATCCCTTCTTCAAAAGCCCTAACAGCCTGGATCAACTTTACTCTCTGTTCACCATCAAAATATAAACTTGGATAGTAAAGTAGTATTTTAAAAGTCTGTGGATGGAAAAATGTTATTAAACCATTATTTGGGTGGGAAAAAAGTCATTAACTCTTAGACAAGGAGTTAGGACATTATCTAAGTTTTGATGACTCAGATAATTTTATCTATAAATTTAGATGGGAATGAAATGGGTAAAATAATAATCAATTTCGTTTAAATGGTTCATCTGGGTTCAACCGAATATTGAAAAAAGTCCATGTGATTATCATAATCAAATTTGCATGCAGAGAAGAGCATCATATAATTAGAGAATGAGAGTAACTAATAAATTTAATTATTCATACGGTCTAACTAAAATTAGTACTAAACTTTACAGTTCCAGTGGAGCTAAATCAATTTGCTAAAGCTTCTATTCTAACAGGATGGATGTGATTTAAAGAAAGCCAAGACGCCAACAAAAGGTGCATTAATGTATGTGGTAGGCTCTGATTGCCGAAAATTAACTCGATCATCAGGATATGTATCATTCATAAAAGGTCCTCCAACAACGGCCCCAGTTAGCACGTTGGCATTAGGATTGTTGCTGTTAGCGTATAATTTACCACCATTGCAATCGATAAAACCCGGATGTTGATCAATGGAAGGTAAAGTTGAACCCCGATGATGAATTCTCTGAGGAAAATAACCCGAATATCCAACCATGTATGACAGGTTCAATGGGTTGCTTCCAAGTATATAATCCACCTGCAAAATCAAATATTTGAACACAAACTCTTATAAATCATGTTGAACAAATAGAATCATATCCATTTAATGGAGATTTATGTATACCTGGCCTTTTGCTAGTTGTCTGAACCTATGCTTGTCGGCCATAACGCCACCACCACAAGCAACCACTCTGTTATTTGATTCTTCTAAATAGCGACTGTAAACGAGAGCCAGAAAGGATAAAGATGTGGCATGTTGTAAATTGCTTCCTCCATCTTTGAACATAAGTCCACCTGTTTTGATATAAGAACAAGAATTAAGTTAGAAATTCAAGTTAACTTATGCTTATTAAAAACTCTAGAATTGTTGTTATAATAATTACCTGGTGAATAATCTACTGCCTTTGTAGGTGATTCAGGCAACAGAGAACATGCAAACTTGTTCGCATTTCCAATGAAGAGACCGGAATTAGAGGTATTAAGCTGCCAAATCAACAACAGGAAAAAAAATTAATTTAAGCGAAAGCCGAAAAGTATATAAATAGATATCCAAAGCTCGGATACGGACTCTGGTAACAAGCACATTAATGCCAGCATTCTTGTTATCCCATCCAAATTCATTATAGTTTCCCAGATTGTATGCGTTCTTCACGACATAGTTCCAGTAATCAGGTATCAAAGTTGCCCTATATAACCATGCCGCTCCCCAGAGCAATTCATCCTATAAGAAAATATCATTTGAACGTTTAGACTCCGAATCTAAATTTCTAATTAGATGTGCAACAACGCAAAATTTTCTACAGGATTTAAACGTGTTTACCTGATAGCCACTGAAGTCGCAATAGAAGGGGCAGACCCAGGGATAAAGAGTATCATTGTAAAATCCACGGTACTTATCTGCGAAATAGAAAACCTATGCCAGGGAAAAGAAAATAATCAACTATAATTCTTACCGAGAAAACTTGTTCGCAAATAATGAATGAATAAATTTCATTCTACCTTTGTCGCCCTTCTGATAAGGTCCTGAGAATAACTATAATTAGTGTGTCTAAAGACTATGGAAGAGGATGCAAGTGCAGCTGCTATCTCAGCAGCAACTTCTGAACCTGGAAACTCTTTACTAATAGCATAAGGGGTTCTAGGTGTGTCCATATCATCAGGTCTCTCCCAGCAGTTGTGGTCATTATAAGGTTCACCAACTTGAACGTATATAAAGTTAGGAATACTGGTTGCTTTCATTAAGTAATCAGTTCCCCATCGAATGGCATCCAATGCATATTGCTGGTCTGATCCCATGGAGTCGCCAAACTCTATTACGCTCCATGCCAGCATCGTTATTGAAAAGGACATCGGAAAGTTAAATTTAACATTGTCACCAGCATCGTAGTAACCACCCGTTAAATCAACCTGAGGACAAATTGTGATGAATTTTAATGTTAATGCCAATATAACAATTAAGTTCTAAACTGTACAGAATCTTCAGGAACAAACAAGACACAAAAATCTTGTAACTGCCATACCCTACGCATCCAAGTCAACTTAAGTTAGAACCACGAAGAACTATACTTTATTAACCATACATGATAAATTCACAGGCAAAAAAGTACCTTTTTCAGCTTCTGCTATTTTGTACACTTCCAGCTGTAAGCTCCTTGAAAACGAAGTTAATATGTTTTTTTTTTGTTTTTTTGTGAGAAGCACTCCTGTTTGCAAGAAAATGCTTTATGGATAACTACTTTCACATTTTTTTCATGGTAATACTAAATTCACAAACCCTTGTTCACAAACCTTTATTATTAATTTTTTCTCACAAATATAACATGACAACTCGTAATCGGTTTCATTTGTTTAATAATGGATCTCACCTAACCAATTGCGAGCTATCACGTCACATTTATGAGAAAAAGTTAATGAAAAAGGTTTGTCGACCAATTTTTATTGATTTGTTATAAAAAAATTCTAATTGTTTCTAATGTACTTGTCTCTGTAAGAGGTAGTTTTTATCTATAAACTTAACCACATTTTACCAAAAAAGTTATTAATTGGAAAGGAAGCAAGCTTAATTTGACAAATTATTATTTAGGATTGTATACAAATCTAACATGCGGGGATTAAAACAAATTGTTGATCTAAAAGAGAAAAGGGGAGGTTTGTGCAAGTTTGCAGGAGGAGAAAAAATGAACAGTGGGGAGAAATGTAAAGGACTTACACCAATTTCAATGCCATCCTTAAGTGCAGAATCCTTCCTCCAAGTCATCCTTTGGTTAGAGGGTATTTTCCCCGACCTCTGCCCTTCAAAAAACAAAATGCTTTTCGTTAATGCATCTCCATAATCATGTGACCGTACACTCCCCACCATTACCAACACCGACACTAACACGCTTTGAATAATTAGCTTCATTGTCTCTCAATCTCTCTTTCCCTGATCAGCTGAATCTTTCCCTAATAAGTAAGTAATTCACTTAATGCGTGTACACAGCAATATCACTCAAAGAATAATGAAAGTACACATGATAGCTTTGTGCAGAAGCTTAGTTCCTCCTCTTCTCTTTATATATTTACACTATAAATGATGATAGAGACTAATAGAATCAACCACTTCCTTCTTTATATATTTACACTATAAATGATGATAGAGACTAATAGAATCAACCACTTCCGCAGCCTGAAGAGGTTTCGTGTAAGTTACATTAATTTCTTCTCCAATTATCCTTCCTTTAACTGATTGAAAAATACATTAATATCCCTCCACGAGTAATGAAAACAACTAAAACTTGTTCAAATTCGCATAAATTTACAAACACCAGAACGTAATCGATGACTTGTATCCAGTTTCAAAGATGTGATAGAATTTCAAGAGATTATATCCAAAGAAACTATGAGTAAAGTGGCCAACTGCCAAATTAATTACTTAATTAATCAACTTTTTACGTAACTTTAATTGGGTATTTGGGGATTCAAGATATCTAATGGAACTAAAGTTGCACAGGAGCGGTGGATTTGCTAGCAGCATATCTTTGCTCTTTACCAGAAGCCACATTAGAGTAAACGAACTTTTTCCCACCCAAATGATGACTTAATAACATTTTTCTATCTACAAACTTTAAAAATACCATTTCATTATCCAAATTTATATTCCGTTTCCGATTTCGGCATCGTTGCGACCCCACACCACTACCATTCTCTTTCCCAATCATCACTCACTAAAACCTCTCAAACCCTACTCTTGCCGACCTCATCAATCGCCGACAATTGAACGATTAGGGTTTGCTCAACAACCGCCCCTCCCAAGTCAAATTCCGATCAATCACAACCATCAAAATCCAACTTTCTACCACTAAAAGACTCATTAGCTTTCCTTCTTTAAAAGCTCCAACAGTCTGGATTGAGTTTGCTCTTTATTCGTCTTTCGAATATAAATTTAGATAATAAAATAGTATTTTAAAAGTTTGTAGATAAAAAAGTGTCATTAAATCATTATTAGAGTGGGAAAAAGTCATTAACTCAGCAACATTATTTCCTTTTCGAAAATTTCAAGCAATCGTTTACCGTTGTTCATTAATAATCAATCTGGATAAGGAGTCGTTAACTGGTAACTGCTTTATCACAAGAACAAGAACACGAGTTTAAAGTTTCATACTTAAGAGAACTGAATGAATTGCCATTTTATTAACGTGTGACATGTGCAAAATGAGTTGATGAGGAAGAAGCAGTTACCAGTTTCCAGGTGTTTGTTCACCTAAAAAACGTATGGCCTGAATTTTTTTAGTATATTTTTCATATAAGATGACCAGTTTTATAAACAATCAAATGCTAAACTGATTGGATATGCAAATCTAATTAAATTTTCTATCTGTGCCTTTTGTAATGATATAATTATTATAGCAAATTAATTGGGATCATATATATAAAATCTAATCTATATGCATATCTATCAATAATTAATGTATATCAAAATCCATTATATATTTGTAAAAATGAGCAAGCTACGGGATAAGGAAAAAATAAAATAAAATAAAAGAGAGCAATACAGCTAAATGATGAGATTATGTCAGACAGATATGTTGTCCAAACAAATGAACCGATTTTTGAATTAATTATCCATTTATTCGATGATTTAAGGGTGTTTGGACCAGTTTGCGTGTACCTTAATTAATCCTTTAAGACTTTGGAACTACTGGTTGATTAGGAGTTTCAGTAGCCACTCTTATTAGGAGCTGTGAAGACTTGAACTCAGGACTCGAACTTAGAAGATCATATTAAATCTTTTTTTATTTTTCTATCATCAAGCCACTAAGTGATAGTTTTTATTGGATGACTGATATCTACCATGGGTATCAATTATCATGAATACACTAAAAATTGAAATATTGTTGAGGAGATATATTCTCAGTTTAATTTAGTCAACTTGAGCCCAACCCAATTATCAGAAAGCAATATTAGCCCAAAACAGGACTGAAAAGATTAACCGAGCCCAATTAATTTATATCATCTTGAATCTTTTTATCAATTTTTACTTATTATATAGTTTTCAACTTGATAGTGGTAAAGTATTACCTTTTTTGACATCTTTCTATATCTTAAGTTAGTGAAGTAAGTCAACCTGGGAAAGATTAAATTATACCTTCAACGTATATGAAATCTTTTTTCTGCCAAGATTTGAACAGAACCCAACTAATTGAAATCGGCAGCTTCTTCTTTTTCTGTGAAATTTCATTATTGAACACTGAAGAGATGATAAATTAAACGTATAATGCAAACTATAAATCACATGGATTCTTGTTTGGAGATTTGAGTGTTAGACTTTCAAGCGACTGTTACTTCTTTCTTACACGGTTTCATGTGACTAGAACGTGCTGATTGATTTTTATATTAAGTCCACTCAACCCCATTTGCTAATTGGCTTATAATTTATAAGTGCCCACATCTTTAAGCAACTTTGCAAATTTAGCCAGATTTTTTCTATCCCTCAATCAATTAAATCATTAGATTTTTCCTTCCAATTTTGACCCACCTAATTATATAATTTAATTCTTGGGAAAAGGGTTTATATATGATCATATTTTACTTCAAATATACATTATTGTGGTAAGTATTTTCTTCGAATTCATAATATCATACACCCCTTTTTCTCTCTCTCGCTTTCCTTGAACGAAGCCTATGTATTATGAAATTAAATTTTACGTAAAGAAGGAAAGATTACAACATGGAATATAAATTTATTAAATTCTCTTTGCCTTGCAATTGCATTTATATATCACGTTCAGTCTTCATTTCTCACTTTCCTACATAAAGGAATCTCTTAGTAAGAAATGATCCTCAAAGTCCCGAACTCCAAAGCACAGAAAAAAAGAAAATGGCCGGGGTGATGAGGCTAATACTTCTGTTCATATCCTTCTATTCAATATTTCATCCTGCACTATCGAGAAAATCTTCATCAAACATAACCTGGTGGTGCAGCAAAACGCCACATCCTGAACCATGCGTTTACTACATGAGGCGGAGCCGCCAACATTTTGCGCCGAATCACACGTCCGAGTTTCGGCAAATGGTAGTCCAATTAGCCATGGAACGAGCCCTCAATGCGAAAAAGCATGCCTTGCAATTCAGGTCAAGTTGCGAGACTAAGCATCGGAAAGCCGCATGGTCCGATTGTCTAAAACTATATGATAATACAGTTCTTCAACTAAACCGTACCTTACAAGGCATTGGAGCCAACAAGAGTTGTACTGATTTCGATGCACAAACGTGGCTTAGCGCAGCATTAACCAACATCCAAACATGTGGATCCGGGTCCATGGATTTGAATGTTTCCGATTTCATTAATCCAATCATAATGTCCAATAATTTAACCCAGCTATTAAGCAATAGTTTGGCCATCAATGGAGTATTCGTAAAGCAAGAAAATACATCATATACAGGATGGTTTCCCAGTTGGCTTACGCGGCAAGAAAGGAAATTATTGCAGAGTTCATCATTAACTTTTAAAGCAAAAGCAAATCTTGTGGTAGCAAAAGATGGCTCCGGGAATTATAAGACAATTCAAGCTGCCATTAACGCTGCTGCAAAGAGGAAAGGGACTGCAAGGTTTATTATATATGTAAAGAAAGGTGTTTATAACGAAAATATTGAGGTTGGCCTCAATAACAATAACATTATGTTGATCGGCGATGGCATGAAGTATACTATAATCACCAGCAGCCGCAGTGTTAAAGGAGGTTACACCACGTACAGTTCTGCAACTGCTGGTAACTGAATTTCTTTTACGTGCTGTGAATTTCTGTTAATTTTTTATTTAGATTTTTGGATATATTGAAAATAATGACTTGCAGGCATTGATGGACCTGGGTTCATTGCTTGGGAAATTACCTTCCGAAATGGAGCCGGACCCTCTAAGGGCCAAGCGGTGGCGCTACGTTCAGCCTCCGATCTCTCAGTCTTCTATCGTTGTGCCATCCAGGGATACCAGGACACCTTAATGGTCCACTCGCAACGCCAATTCTACAGAGAATGCTACATCTATGGCACAATTGACTTCATTTTCGGCAATGCAGCAGTGGTCTTCCAGAACTCTTTGATTTATGTGAGAAGGCCTCTCAAAGGACAAGCAAATGTGATCACCGCACAAGGCCGCAATGACCCTTATCAAAACACGGCGATTACAATCCATAATTCAAAAATTTTAGCCGCATCTGATCTAAAGCCAGTGGTTAAAGCATTTAAAACCTACTTAGGGAGGCCATGGCAGCAATACTCAAGAACGGTTATTGTTAAAACTTATCTCGATAGTCTTGTTAGTCCACTTGGATGGTCTCCATGGGCGCTGAACAGTAAGTTTGCTCTTGACACATTGTATTATGGTGAATATAAGAATTCGGGGCCTGGTTCGTCTACTAGATCAAGGGTGAAGTGGAAAGGTTTTCATGTTATGACTAGCTCTGCTACGGCGTCGCGTTTCACTGTTGGAAGTCTTATTGCTGGCCGCTCATGGTTGCCGGCTACGGGTGTGCCATTCACTTCTGGCTTGTGAATCACGTTCTATTATTATTTATTAACTTCATTTGTTAATAATTTTTTGCCTCTCTGACTGGATTAATTTTTATATATTATTTATTGGTTACTTATAAAAAAATATGATAATAAATTATGAACATTTTTTTTTTTTTTTTTTATGATTTGGATAGTAATTTTGGTTTATGAGTGGAGTTGTTGGCACTTGGCACTGCACTTATGTTAAATACCCCATCATCATTATTCCTAAAATAAAAAAAGATTAAAACCTAAAAAAAAAAAATATTTACAAATAATCCCAAGAACATAATAAAATAGTTACCAATACTTTGAAGAAAAAAATAACAATAAATTTATATATATAAAGCAATTAAAAACTTACAATTTTATATTACAAATCTTCTTCATCCATAAAACTATCATTTTTGTTCTAAAAAAGATTTAAATATCTAAAAACAATTAGTGTTTGTGAGATAATAGTGGGATATCAAAAGCATTTGTAAAGAATAAAAAATTAAAATTAATCTTATAATTTAATATAAAGATAAATTTCTCATTATAAAATTTATTAAAAATAAAACTTTTTAATTCAATAGGTAAAGTATCAATAGATCCACTATAAGTACACCTGGAAGTACAACTTTTATCCGGCCGTGGCATTGGAAAGTCCAAAGCAAAGTTCATACTTCATTTGAAATCGTTTGGGCTGGACAATTTCTAGTCAAAGCCCATCTTCATAACTCCAAGAAGAATTCCACATTCTCAAATTCAATTCACACTAATTATATTTATCGAACATTAATATGAATAATATGTTTTAATGTGAATGGATGATTTTAAATTAGAGAAAATTTAAATAAATTAGAGTAAATAATATGTCAAATATGTAAAGCTGTTACGTTAGTTTGTAAGAAATAATTTATATATGTAGCATTATCTATTATAAAATCAATAAAACCGTGTTTTAAGGAAAGGACAAACTTTATTACAATAATACTTCATGTATAAATTTTATTGTACAATTTGATGTGTTTTAAGATTAATCAGATAACTTTAAATGGAAGATAAAGTATTAAATAAAAATATTATATGTCAAAGTCAAATATGTCTATCGTATCAGTTTATAGTATTACTCTTTCAAGTAAATACTAAATACTATACATAAACCAAAAAATAAAATAATATTCTTAATTATCTCATAATGTTTTGGAGTCATTGTAGTTTGACTCTAAAATCTAAATCAAATTCTAACACAATAATTATTTCTAAGTTTAGTATGATTTAAACTACGTCTAATGTTATATATATACATATATTGGAGTCATTGTAGTTCGACTCTAAAATCTAAATCAAATTCTAACACAACAATTATTTCTAAGTTTAGTATGATTTAAACTACATCTAACGTTATATATATATATATATGCCTAGATTAATCACATATACAGAACAATAACCGATACAAACTTGATACACAAAATACAAGCTTTGATTACAAGTTCAATAATGACAATGAAGCCAAGATTATTCTTGTTGTTCATAGCATTCCTTTCATTCTTTTCCTCCACCCTCTCAAATACCATCCCTTCACATGGCGTAGACTATTGGTGCGACAAAACCCCACACCCAGAACCATGCAAACACTTCATGAAAATAAACCGTGAAAACTTTGAGCCCAAACACAGTAATGACTTCCGTCAGAAGTCGCTACAACTCACCATGGAACGGGCGATGATTGCACAGAGTCATAACAAGCATCTCGTTTCAAAAAGCAGAAGTGAGAACGAAAAGGCTGCATGGACTGACTGTTTAAAGCTATACGAAGATACTATTATTCAACTCAACAAAACTCTAGACCCCAACACAAAGAGCACCGGTTTCGACCAACAAATTTGGCTTAGCGCTGCCCTCACCAACATTGAAACCTGTCGAACGGGATTCATCGAGATGGGCGTTTCGGATTATATGTTGCCACTCATGTCCAAAAATGTGTCCCAACTTATAAGCAACACTTTGTCTCTACACAACGTTTTCTCAATTAGGCCAGAAACATACAAAAGTGGGTTTCCAAACTGGGTTAAAGTCGGTGACAGGAAGCTGTTGCAGAGAGCTTACATTACAGCCGACCTCGTGGTGGCTCAAGATGGGTCAGGGGATCATACGACTATCCAGGCAGCTCTTGATGTGGCAGCTGAGAGAAGCAGGAGTGAGAAATTTATGATATATATAAAGAGAGGACTTTATGAGGAGAATCTTGAGATTGGGAACAATTTGAAAAACATTATGTTGGTTGGTGATGGATTAAAACACACCATTATTAGTGGTAGCAAAAGCTTTGGTTGCTCTGGAGGAGGTTATAGTACTTTCAACTCTGCAACCGTTGGTAATTAATTCCTCGCTTTTCCTTTGTTTCCTTGTTTATAATATAATTGCTTTTAATCAAGAATAAGTAATAAATAATTGTCAATTCTTTTTAATTAAGAATATTTTTGGTTACGTTTATTTACCCTACAAAATGTTTATTTAAACTCATTTAAGTAAATTAATATTTGAAAGCTCTATTACATATCCCTAACCAAACAACCAACACTTTTTTCATAAAAAAACTCTTTGTATTTTCATGTCATCTAAATTTTGAAAATATATTTACCAATAATATATTATTATTGGTTTCAGCGGTGACTGGTGAAGGATTCATTGCTCGTGGGATCACATTCCGCAACACAGCTGGTCCGAAAAAATGTCAAGCAGTGGCACTCCGATCAGGCTCCGATCGCTCAATCTTCTACAGGTGTGGCTTCGTGGGATACCAAGACACTCTCTACGTCCATTCACAAAGACAATTCTATAAAAATTGCCACATTTATGGCACAATTGATTTCATTTTCGGAGATGCAGCAGTTGTTCTACAAAACTGCATGATATTCGCAAGAAGGCCAATGCATGGACAAAGTAACGCAATCACTGCTCAAAGCAGAGCAAACCCTAATCAAACCACAGGAATTATAATCCAAAACTCACGAGTTATGGCTGCACCAGACCTGGTACCAGTGCTTAGTAAAGTCAAAACATTCTTGGGACGGCCATGGAAAGAGTACTCACGAACAGTTTTTATGTGCACTTTTCTAGATACATTGGTTGATCCGGCTGGGTGGTTGGAATGGGATGGTGATTTTGGTTTGGATACTCTGTATTATGGTGAGTATAACAACTTTGGACCGGGTGCATCAACTAGCGGGAGAGTAAAGTGGGGTGGTTACAGGGTGATAAATAGTTCGACTGAAGCGTCAATGTTCACAGTTGAAAACTTCATATCCAGGGACCTATGGTTGCCAGACACTGGGGTGCCGTTCACCGCTGGCCTTTATTGATTGTTGATTGTTTTGTCCTGCAACGACTAACGAAGAAAATTGATCCATTAGAGAGTAAGTATAGTTTTGTTTTGTTGTTTAAGTAAAACTCGTCTTAGTTGTGATAAGTATTAGAGTTTTTATGTAATATTTTATATTCTTATTATTATTATTATTATTATAACCAATTAATTGTTTTCATATCTAATGATCTCACTATAACAAAATTGAATTACTAAGGCTTTCACAAAATGCTATAATAATACTAAAATGAATGCTTTTAGTTGCCAATGGTAACCTCTTTTCTTATAGCTAGCTTTCATTGAAAATTGCTGAGTTGATACCAATTACCACTCTTGAAATCCTAATTTTATATATACATTCCATTAATGCTATCTAGCACCCACTTTATAACATCCCAAGAATCCACTAAGGATTTTTTTTTTTTTTTTCAGGTAATCTTACAATTTCTTTAGATGTTTGGCTAATATTGTAAATAATTACTTGAAAATTCATTTATTTAATTTGAAAGCGTTTGTTCTAGATGGTTTCTAGACAGAATCCATTATCATAATTCAAAAAGAATTTCACATTTGTTGATTCACACACTGATTATATCTGTTTAACATTAATAAAAAGCGGTTTTACTGATTTTAATTAAAAGAGTAATACTATATATACAAATAAATCTTACAAAGATTTATATATAAAGTAATGTAGCAGAAAATAAATGAAAGAGTGAATATGATGAGTTTAAATTTTTGTGTTCACTCTTCCATTCATTTTCTGCTACATTACTTTGTATAGAGTTTTTTGTAAGATTTCTTTGTATGTCTAACATTATTGTAATTAAAAACTACAAAAACCAAAAAATATTAGGAGATTATCATGGACTATCCTTAAGGTTTTCATATTTATTATTCAGATGACAACTTTTTCACTTTTTACCTTAGACTACCCTCAAAATTTGAAATTGCATCATAAATCTCTCTTTGTGTTATCAAATAAACCCTACAAGTTTAAAAACCTTATCACAAATACCCCTTTACGATAACCATATCACATGGTCGTTAGGTTTGCAAAACACTTTCTTATAAAACTAAAGTTACCATTTTACCACAAACGATTACATAATGGAGTTAGGGCAAAGGGGTGTACATGATTTAAGTGCGGAAATTGTCATCCAAGTGATCAATTTGGTCTAAACCCAAGAAAAATTTATATATAGTAGTTTATGTAATATTCCATCAATCATATGTATTTTATGTGATATTCCATCAATCATAGAAGCGCCGAACTGCCAATCATTTAAAAATAACGACATGATATATACTATTATACTTGCATGATTGGATCGAAAAATGTAGAGAGTAAAATATTCATAGGGCAAACTCAAATTGATGATTATAATAAATTTAGTTAGTCTCATATATATTGTTTTGGTCTGACGATCAAAGAGGTTTACTTTCTTCCTTGAGTTTTTGTTCAAATTTTGGGGATATCTACTATAATAATATTGTAGTTTATCTGGTTCTTTGTATTTGTAAGATATTTAATAGATATCGGAGATTAGTTGAGGTACGCACAAACTGATTTAAACACCCCATTTACCAAAAAAAAAAAAACTTTATTGAGAGATGTTACACCGTAAACTTTAAATTATTGAAGCTGCATGGAAGGAGACCCATTTCTAATTTGTGGTTGTTGAGATTTCTTTATTAAGTGAGCATAAATTTTGACAGAATCTTCAATATTTTTTAAGTATTAAATAATTTAAAAAAATTATATATATATAGCAGAGCTCATAAGTCGTAATTAACTATCTTCATCATCGCCATTGAAACTATGAAATTCCACCATTGTTTCAATTGTGTGGCACGTTGATTTATTAAAACCATTGGAGCTAACACGGTAGAAAGTCAGAGTCAATCAATTTAGAAAAGTCAAAACATCTTACAAAAATTGCCTACTTGACTTTATACAACACAGCTGGCACGTTGTTTTCCTAAGCCTACTGGGGCAGGGAATTTTCATACTATTGGATCAGAACTTGCTTTCCGTTAATAGAAATCAATTCCAATTACGATAGCACAGAAGTAGTCTACGGAAATCGGCGGTGGCTGCTCCCACGTCTAATTATAGAAGTTTATTTACACATTATCTTTAAGGAACATGCAGTTCGATTTATAATAATAAATAAATCACACTTGGATGTTAATTTAATAACGGATGAATAACAAAAGGTGAATATATTCATAGATAGAACATGCAGTTTGATATTTGGACTGCCCATTAAGATATATGTTTTTTTTTGTTTTTTTTTTTTTTTTGGTATCTTAGAGTGTCCGAACTGGTTTGTATATATTTCAATTAGTCTTTCGAGACTTTCATGTTAGAGGTCAAGTAAGTCTCTAATGACTACTTTTTATTAATAGTTATAGGGATTCAAACTCAATATTTCTTGAATAACACACTCAAAAATCCAAAGAGAACTGCTAAAGTACTGAAAGATAGTTCATTTAAGATATATGTAATTAGTTAATGGGGCACAAGGTTAAGAGAATAAGAGTTAGTAATTACCAAAGATAACATCTCAAGAGAACCGTCAAGCTACTTAGAGATAATTTATTTAAGATATATGTACTTAGTTAATGTAGCACAAATTTAATTTATTTCACTAAGAGCGTGGATAAATAAGAGAACAAGAGTTAGTAATTAACCAAAGATAACATGAAAAATTAAGGAGAACGAGCCTTCCTGTAAGCCAGCAAACCTTCTAGGTAAAAGGAGATCCAAGCAATAAAGAAAAAACCTTCTTGGTCTGCAGATACGTGTTGAGTTTTTCTCGTAGATTTACATTGTTGACCTAAAAGGATATAATAATTTATACAAAAACCATTTTAATAAGACAACAAACAAGAATCTCTGTAATGTTATTACTGTCACTTTCCCATAGTCAAACCCTTCCAGCCTAGCCTGACTGGCTATTAATTATCACCAAACTTTCTCCAGTCCCCCTATATATACATCAATCAATCACATATACACAACAAACCAAACACAAGCTTCAATTACAACTTCATTCATGGCTACGAAGCCGGGATTATTCTTGTTATTTATAACCTTAATTTCATTCTTCTTATCCACCCTCTCCATTAGCATCCCCTCATCCAGCGTAGACTATTGGTGCAACAAAACCCCATACCCACAATCATGCAAATACTACATGAAACAAAACCCTAAAAGATTTGTGCCCAAACAGAAGAATGACTTCCGGAAAATGTCACTACAACTCACCATGGAACATGCAGTGAGTGCGCAGAATCATAACAAGCATCTCGGTTCAAAATGCAGAAATGAGAAAGAAAAGACTGCATGGAGTGACTGCTTGAAGCTCTATGAAAATGCCATTATTCAACTCAACCAAACCCTGGATCCCAACACAAAGTGCACCGAATTCGATGCACAAACATGGCTTAGCACTTCCCTCACCAACCTTGAAACCTGTCGAACAGGGTTCATGGAGCTGGGCGTTTCGGATCATATGTTGCCTCTCATGTCCAACAATGTGTCACAACTTATCAGCAACACTTTGTCTATAAACAACGCTTCATCGGTTAAGCCGGAAACATCCAAAGGGGGGTTTCCAAGCTGGGTTAAAGCCGGTGACAGGAAGCTTTTGCAGACATCTTCAGTTACGGCGGACCTTGTTGTGGCACAAGATGGGTCAGGAAATCACAAAACTATCCTGGCAGCTCTTGATATGGCAGCTAAGAGAAGCGGGAGTGGAAGATTTGTGATATATATAAAGAGAGGAGTTTATACGGAGAATCTTGTGATTGGTAACAGTTTGAAAAACATTATCTTGATTGGTGATGGATTAAGATACACCATTATTACTGGTAGCCGAAGCGTTGGGGGAGGTTCTACTACTTTCAACTCTGCAACTGTTGGTAAGACCACTTCTTAGTTAATTCCTCATTTTTCTTTTGATTGCTTGTTTAGTTGTTTATAATTTAATTGTTTTAGATTTAATATTTTTACAAAAATAAATTGTCATTAATTTTTTATTTAATATTTCTTTATCTCTAATATTTTAACTGTCATGAATTTTGACCACGAAAGCTGTAGTCTAAATTCTGAGATGGACACCGTTTAAGAAGATTGGCATGAACATCCTGGAACAAGTCATAAATATTTATATATTAATTAAATTCGAGTTTTTTTTTTTTTTTTTTTTTTTTTAAATAGAGTCTTGTATTCCCAACTTCTAAATTAAAAACTATCTTTACTAATTGTAATTTAAATAATTTTATTGGTTCCAGCGGTGACTGGCGCGGGATTCATTGCTCGTGGGATCACGTTCCGCAACACAGCAGGTCCACAAAACCACCAAGCAGTGGCTCTCCGATCAGGTTCCGATCTCTCAGTCTTCTACAGGTGTGGCTTCGAAGGATACCAAGACACTCTCTACGTCCATTCACAAAGACAATTCTACAAAGAATGCTACATCTATGGTACTGTCGATTTCATTTTTGGAAATGCCGCTGTTATTCTCCAAAATTGCATGATTTACGCAAGAAGGCCAATGGATAAACAAAAGAACACAGTCACTGCTCAAGGCAAAACTGACCCTAACCAAAACACTGGAATTTCAATCCATAACTCACGAGTTATGGCTGCACCAGACCTCGCACCAGTGCTTAGCTCATTCAAAACATACTTGGGACGGCCATGGAAGGAGTACTCGCGGACAGTTTTTATGCAAACTTATCTTGATACATTGGTGGATCCTGCTGGGTGGTTGGAATGGGATGGTGATTTTGCTTTGGATACTTTGTATTATGGTGAGTATAAGAACCTTGGACCAGCTGCATCAACTAGCGGGAGAGTGAAGTGGGGTGGTTACAGGGTGATAACCAGTTCAACTGAAGCATCAAAGTTCACAGTTGCTAACTTCATAGCCGGAAACTCGTGGTTGCCGGCCACTGGGGTGCCGTACACCTCTGGTCTTTGATTGAATTAATTGATTGTTGATTGTTTTGTCCTGCAACGACTAACGAAGAAAATTGATCCATTAGAGATAAGTATGTTTAGTTTTGTTGTTTAAGTAAAACTCGTCTTAGTTGTGATAAGTATTAGAGTTTTTATGTAATATTTTATATTATTATAATCCAATTAATTGTTTTCATATCAAATGATCTCACTGCAACAAAATTGAATTACTAAGGCTTTCACAAAATGCTTATAATACTAACAGCTATCAATGAATGCTTTTAGTTGCCATGTACCTCATTTTCTTATAGCATCTTTCAATGAATTGCTGAGTTGATACCAATTACCACTCTTGAAATGCTAATTTTATATATACATTCCATTAATGCTATCGCACCGACTTTATACATCCCAAGAATCCACTAAGGATTTTTTTTTTTTTTTTCCATAATCTTACAATTTTTTTTATGTTTGGCTAATATTGTAAATAGTGACTTGAAAAATCATTATTTAATTTGAAAGCGTTTGTTCTAGATGGTTTCTAGAATCCATTTCATAATTAAGAAAGAATTTCATATCTGTCGATTCACACACTGATTATATTTGTTAACATTAATAAAACGCGGTTTTATGATTTTAATTAAAAGAGTAATACTACATACAAAAAATCTACAAAAATTTATATATAAAGTAATATGCTAAAATAAATGAAAGAGGTGAATAAATTTTTTGACTTTTTATTCTTATTCCATTCATTTTCTGCCAAATTACTTTGTATAGAGTTTTTTGAAATTTTTTTGTATGTCTACATAATTGTTAAAAAACTAAAACCAAAAAATATTGGAGATTATCAGGACTATCCTTAAGGTTTTCATATTTATTATTCAGATGACAACTTTTCTCTTTTTACATAGACTACCCTCAATGAAATACATCATAATTCCTCTTTGTGTTATCAAATAACCCTACAATTTAAAAACCTTAATCAAATACCCCTTTAAGTAACCATATCACATGTTCGTTAGGTTTGCAAAACACTTTCTTATAAAACTAAAGTTACCATTTTACCTGAATGTTCTTAAAACTAGGTTACATTCACTTGTTACCACAACGATTACTAATGGATTAGGGCAAAGGGGTATACATGATTTAGTGCGGAAATTGTCATCCAAGTGAAATTTGGTTCAAACCCAAGAAAAATTTATATATAGTATTTTATGTAATATTCCATCAATCATATGTATTTATGTGATATTCCATCAATCATAGCGCCGAACTGCCAATAATTTAAAATATGCCATGATATATCTTTATACTCTCATGATTGATCGAAAATGTAGAGAGTATATTCATGGGCAAACTCAAATTGATGATTATAATAATTTAGTTAGTCTCATATTATTGTTTTGGTCTGCGATCAAAGAGGTTTTTTCTTCCTTGAGTTTTTGTTCAAATTTTGGGGATATCTACTATATATATTGTAGTTTATCTGGTTCTTTGTATTATGGTAGATATAGATACTGGAGATTGTTAGGTACGCACAAACTGATTTAAACACCCCTTACCAAAAAAAAAAAAAACTTTATTGAGAGATGTTACACCGTAAACTTTAAATTATTGAGCTGCGAAGAGACCCATTTCTAATTTGTGGTTGTTGAGATTTCTTTATTAAGTGAGCATATATTTTGACAGAATCTTCAATATTTTTTAAGTATTAATAATTAAAAATTATATATATGTATCGAGCTCATAAGTCGTAATTAACTATCTTCATCATCGCCATTGAAACTATAAAATTCCACCATTGTTTCAATTGTGTGGCCGTTGATTTATTAAAACCATTGGAGCTAACACGGTAGAAAGTCAGAGTCAATCAATTTAGAAAAGTCAAAACATCTTACAAATTGCCTACTTATGACTTTATACAACACAGCTGCACGTTTTTTTCCTAAGCCTACTGGGCAGGGAATTTTCATACTATTGGATCAGAACTCTTTCCGTTAATAGAATCAATTCCATTACGTGCAATAGTCTGAAATCGGCGGTGGCTGCTCCACGTCTATTTAGATTTATTCACATTATCTTTAAGGAACATCAGTTCGATTATAAAATAAATAAATCACACTTGGATGTTAATTTAATAACGGATGAATAACAAAGGTGAATATATCATAGATAGAACATGCAGTTTGATATTTTGACTTCCACTAAGATATATGTTTTTTTTTTTTTTTTTTTTTTTTTTTTGGTTCTTAGAGTGTCCGAACTGGTTTGTATATATTTCAATTGTCTTTCGAGACTTTCATGTTAGGGTCAAGTAAGTCTCAATGACTACTTTTTATTAATAGTTATAGGATTCAAACTCAATATTCTTGAATAACACACCTCAAAATCCAGAGAACTGCTAAAGTACCTGAAAGATAGTTCATTTAAGATATATTTTAATAAGTATAAGAACCTTGGACCAGCTGCATCAACTAGCGGGAGAGTGAAGTGGGGTGGTTACAGGGTGATAACCAGTTCAACTGAAGCATCAAAGTTCACAGTTGCTAACTTCATAGCCGGAAACTCCTGGTTGCCGGCCACTGGGGTGCCGTACACCGCTGGTCTTTGATTGAATTAATGTGGCCGTAAATGAGGACAACTGATACATTTGTTTGATTACTTTTGTTTGCTAATATTTCATTGATTCGTTCTTCAAGTGTTTATAATATTGAATAATCCCAAATAATATTTTGGATAGTATTTTTGAAAAAATAAGAGTTGTGTGATAATAACGAGGGATGATTTAAAAATTAATAAAGACACTCTTTATGTTTATTAATTTACTAAACACCCCTGTAATAAAAATATTAAAAATTATAAAAATACCCCCACCCATCCATTAAATACCGGTAGTCGGCCACCACTGCTAGAGGGTGGTCGAAGTCACTGTATCGGTATACGATCCAGCTGGTCGTCGCTGAGATTGCCTTTTCCAGCCAGATATATGATCGTCGTTGACGACTAACTGTGGCCAAAGATCTGACAGTCAACAACTAGATCTTTGGCTATAGATCTGGCTTTTTCTGACCAGATTCACGTTGATGACCAAAGATATGGTCATCATTGACGACTAGCTATGGCCAAATATCTGACCATAGATCTCGTTGGAAAATGCTATATCGATGCACTACCGACTGGATTTGGTCGGTAGTACGCCATTATATCAGATTCCGACCACCTCTCGACAATGGTGGCCGAAATCTGACAAATGTGGGTAGATGTGGTATTTTTGTCAATTTTTAAACTTTTTTTGGGGGGTGTTTAGTTAAATTAACAAACTTAAGGGTTTAAAAATAATTGAATAAAATAGAATAGGATTTTCATAATAGGAAAACAAATGTGTATTTTTAGAATTATAGGAATAGGATATTTTAAAAATATTAAAACAAACGGAGTATTGAGAATTATTTATACATTTGCAATGAGTGATGACAATTTATATATAAAAGTTCCCTTTTGATGACAATTTATAAATAAAGTTCCCTTTTTAATACAAATTAATTAAAGCAAAGTTAATTTAAATTGCAGAACTTGCTGAGTAGTCATGAATTTCTGTACTGCAAAGGCAATTGTAATCTTTTGATTTTAGAATCCTACTTTTGTATTATATATATATATATATATGTCGGATAAGAATTCTAATGACTACATCTATTAGCACTCGAATATAGCCTTGATCTTGTATTGTACTGTGTACATCTCTATTCGATGTCACTCCATGAATATATTATGTACATACACCAGAAAACAGACTGATATAGTCTCTATCCAAAAAAATTTCATGCTTTTGAAACAAAAAATAATGACTAAAAACTTTTTGATTAATTGAAGGCCATAACTCCAAACGTTTGTGCAACTTGTTACGGCATCATGCTTGTCAGGTCGAGAATTCGTCATAATAAAAACCAATAACTCTTACAGTGTCTATCATTTGTTATTATAAGTTTATTATGGAAAATTAATAAAGGTCAATGGCTTATTTATTATTAATTATTAAACTTACCTAAACACCAGAATGTCCCAAACTCACCATTTATTAGTTTGGTAAAGAAAGAGAGTTAATTAACTTGTTCTAGCATGCACACAGGAGATGGTTGATATTATATATATACCATCCAAGAAGAGTTCAACAAATTAATTAACTAACAGTACTAATTAAACTATAAAACTCACAAATTTTGAGAGTCTCGGAAGTCTTTAAACGCTGTAAATAATGTGAAGAAACGATACCCCAGAATTCTATCCTAGTTGGACCCTTAATTAAAGGCTGTCATGTTGCAGGTTCTCGGCCCAACTATGGCTGAAAGCAAACACAACACAGTATTGGGATTAAGCTCTAATCACACTATCTTAAACAATTAATCAGAAATGGGTTATGCCTTAATAACAATGCACGTTTCGATGGATTATTGGGCTTTTTCCTTTCGGTATTCTGGGCCTTTACTTGGCCGGCCCATTATCCGGCCTCAAAGCCATATGGGTTTAACACCAAGTTCTATTTGACACTTATCAGTTTGGTTTCTTATAATTATTCTAAAGAAAATTTCAACTCCCATATTCATGGTATAACAAGTTTTTTAGAACTAATGCTTCTTTCATGTTAGTTGTGAAAGAGATAATGTGAGAGCTCAATTAATTAATGTTGATTTAATTATCCCATTTGAAACCATATCTAATGTCAAAACTTGTATTTGTCTAACATTCACCTTTCCTCACGCTAGGCGTGCATGGGTTAGGGTCTACACTTAGACTCATTATTACCTCAACAAACGTGATTATGATACCATGATAAATAGACTTTGGTAGAACTCACTCTAAAAAACTAACTCAAATGAAAAGGCTATCAAATTAGTGATGTGGAACAAATACAACTTCTAACATATGGGATAATAAACATCTTAATCATTGATTGGTTTGAATGAGTAAATAAAAAAATTCAAAGGCAAAGTACGCAAAGTATTGGATAGTAAAGTGAAGTTCCTAAAATTTGAAGACATTCTTTATGTAATGTCGAGGAGATTAGCTGCTTCTAATGACATCTTAACACATTGATTTAGTTCTAATTTCAAATCATAAAAATGTTCATCATCATTAATTGCAAAGATTAATTAATTAAATATGTAATTGATTAAGCACCAATACCAAATTTTGAATGACTTGAAAAAGTTGCTATTTGTTTACTGGAATTGAACACAAAAGGGAGAGGTGATTGGTGAATATTGGTGAGTGGTAATGTCTCATTCCACCCTGATTCAGGATAGCATTCATAAAAAGACGATAAATCTATTTTCTTTTTCTTTTTTAAACTAATCACTAATTAATTAATTACTATATGCTAATTGTATTTATAATTGTAAATACTTTTATATGTATAGTTACAATTTCATATTTTGAGTTGAGGAGGTCAATACTAACACTTTGTAAATTGTTATGCCTAGGAAATCAAGTGCTGACGTGGAGTCACGTGACGAAACGTGGCCTGCTCCCGTCAGAACGGTAAGCGCACGTCATGCCTGCTAAGTGCCCTGGAGTTCCCACGTGTCCGCTTACCTACTCCAAATCACGTAAAATCAGCTTGGGAAATGGGCAATGGGACGTAAAGCCAGATTATGTCCTGACATTCACACCAACCCAAGGATTTAATGATGATTACACGCATTCAACTTGATATAAGAAGAGGAAGACCCCTTCATATCATTTGACATTTGAACTCTCTCTCTCTAAAAAAAAGCTTGTTATTTACTTTTTCAATCATTTGTAAGTCAGTCCGCTTTAGCGACCTGACCCACCGTATAAATACAAATCAGTGGATGTAGGACTTGGTACCTTAGCATCCGAACCACTTTAAAAGCTCTCATTGCATTTATTTCATATTGATAATCCATATTCACGTGTGTTCCTTGTCCAATCAACGCTGCACACGTGTCAATTAGTTGGTGCTTAAACCGCGTATCAACAGTTTGGCGCTAGAGGAAGGGCCTGATTTAGCATTTACCCTTCATCAAGAGAATCTTCGACCTACTGGTCCTACAGCAACAAATGGCCCGCCAATCAGAACCTGGGCAAGCTAATCAGTGCGCTGAAAGAGTCCCCTTGACCCAATGGGATACCCCCTCCAGGGTACTTCTAGTTCCACAAAATGCTGCGGGGGATATCCCGGCAGCTTCGCAACTCGACCTCGCCATCAGAAGCTACCTGGAGAGGTTCGACAATACTCTCCAGACGATCAACCAGAGGTTGGACCGTTTGGACCAAGGCATGTCATCTACAACAGCTGGGGCGGTGCAACCGCCAAAGACGCCTGCAGGTCGAGCAAAAGTGCGGCAAAGGGCAATAGCCCGTGCCGTGAGCACTGCAGCGCGTAGACGTAAGGGAAAGCAAGTGGCAAAAAGTAATCCTACGGGCTCCCAAGGACCAGCGAGCACAAATCGCGCCCTGAGCAGGGTGCCGTCAAAGCTGAGACTCGACAAAAAAGTAAATCCCGAGCTGTCCCATGCCACGTCGCAGGCAAACCCAAGCAAAAATGTCAGGCGTGATGATTCCTATCAGCGCCAGCAGAACGATCCCAATCGTTATCATGCGAGTGGATCCCACACCTCGTGGGGCGGTTCGTACCACCGCGAGGGTCGTGAAAACGCCCCGCGCAATCCATTGCCTTCACACGCCTCTAGCCAGCGTGTGTCGAGTGCGGCCGAAAATGCCGGTCAAGGTGAAGAGGAATCCGACCTCCGGACTTTCTTGAACCGTAATCGCGAAGGCCAGACTCGCATGGGTGAAAGCAACCCTCAATTGGGCCCGTTACCACAAATTGAGGAGCTACAGCGAGCTCTGGACAGGTTAAGGAAGCAGCAAAGTGAACAGGCTCAGGTCGCCTCTGCTTCCCCATTCTCTCCCAAAGTGCTAGCTGCTCCACTCCCACCAAGGTTCAGAATGCCCGACATACGACCATTTGACGGGAACCATGACCCGCAGGATCATTTGTATGAGTTCAACGACCTGATGGAGTTCCACCAAGTTTCGGACCTTGCAAAATGCCACTGTTTGGCCGTGACGCTCACCTCTCATGCCAAGCGGTGGTTAAGGTCGCTCCCAGCGGGATCGATCAGTTCGTGGCCTCAGATGAGCACGACGTTCTTACGGCATTTCCAAGACAATCGGAAGTTTTCGATGCCTTTGAGCTATCTCAGTAACATAAGGCAAGAAAGAGACGAATCTCTGCAATCTTACATCGACCGTTTCCACAGGGAACTAAACAAGATGGCTCACGCTCCAGAAGAGTCCATCCGAACACTTATAATAGCTGGAGTTCGCCCGCAAACTGACCTGTGGAAAGAACTGCAGGCTGAGGACAATGTTTCCCTCACCAGATTTTACAATCTTGCATAAAAGTATCTCCGAATAGAGAATTCATTGGCGGCACTCCGCCGCCGCGATCATGGCGCTTCGAGTAGTATGTCTGGTCGGGGAGAAAGTAGGAGAGCTGATCACAAAAGAGACAGTGATGATCAGCGAAAAGGGAAGAAACCCTGCTACGAGCATAAAAAGTCCTATGCTCCTGTTTTTCGTCGCGACAGGGACAGAGCTCAATACACTCCACTGAACGTGTCCATATCCGTGACAAATCCGAGGAGGCCAGCCTGCTTAGTGAGCCAGAACCAATGAAAACTCCTGCTATGGCCAGAAACATCAAAAAATACTATCGTTACCATCGGGATAACGGGCATCACACT